TTTTTTTTCCCTCAGTATATGTGTTAAATGCCCAGCACAGTGCCTGACATATGGTCAATAAATGTTTGTTGAATTCAGCCCACCTACTTTAAGAATTAAAAATAAGGAATATTAGTTTATGATAAAGAAAAATATCCTTCAGCTTTCATATTATAGCCAATTCAGAGGAAGTAAAAGTAGAAAAAGGGTAGAGAGAAAAAAAAAACCTGAGGACCTGAGAGAAAATGAACGCTCTTATGAATAGAATGGTCGCAAGGATCTCCTGTTGGTTTAGTCCTTGCATCTGCTTTGATGTTTCGATGTGAATTGTTTCCTTCTTTGTCTTTTCTGGAGTCCCAATGTCTGACAGGCAGCATTTTATGTACTATGTGAAACAGCTTATACTACAATATAGCATAGTTAAGTTTGGACTCTGGAACCAGACTACCCAAGTTTAAATCTCGGTTCTACTACTAACTAGTTGTGTGACTTTGGGCCTAACCTGTCTCTGCTATAGTTTTCTCATTTCACAAAGCAATAATAATGGATCCTTCTCTCATGTAATTGTCATGAAGATTAGATAAATTAATGCCTACAAAGCACTTACAGCAATGTAGTTGCCCAGCACACTTGTAATCACTAGTATATTTTAGCTGCTCCAAATGAGATTTAAAAAACTCATGTACTTGATCTTTGCTCAAAACTTGGCCAATTCTGACTTCCTTAATATCTCTATCATTCTCACTCCTTTAGAAGCTAGGGCATATATAGGGCTATACCCTTCTTCCTGGGTGAGGATCAGTATTTTGGCCTAGAAATGTACTATGCTGATGTATATAGCTCTAATCTTCCCTTTCCCTACTCTCTCACTTATGACTATTTATTTTTTTTACTATTATAAACATTCTTCTTCATAGCTACATTACAAACAGGATTTGTGGGGATTTAAAATTATTATTGAAGTATAATGTTATATTAGTTCCAGGTGTATAACATAGAGATTCTACAATTCTGTGTATCATTGAATGCTCACCATGATAAGCTAGTCATGATACAAAGTTATTACAGATTTATTGACTGTATTCCCTATGCTGTACTTTGCATTCTGTGACTTACTTATTTTATAACTGGAAATGTGTACCTCTTAATCCCCTCTAACTATTCATTCATCTTTTTAAAAAAATAATTTATTCCTGAGGTTCCTAGGTGGCTCAGTCGGTTAAGCATCTGATTCTTGATCTCAGCTCAAGGTCATTATCTTATGATTCTTGAGATCAAGCCCCATTTGGGGCTTTGTGCTAACAGCGTGGAGCCTGCTTGGGTTTCTCTCTCCTTGCTCTCTGCCTCTCCCTTGCTCTCTCAAAAATAAATAAACTTTAAAAATAGCTTTATTGAAAAAAAAAACCAGGCTTATTAAGGTATAATTTACATAAGTTTATACTTCAAGGAGTTTTTGTAAATTTATACAGTTATGTAACCATAACCATAAATCCAGTTTAGAACATTCTGGCACCCCTGGAAGTTCCCTTGAGTCTGTTTGCAGTCAGTCCCTCTTGCATCCCCCAGCAGACACAGATTTGCCTTCTATATCTATATTTTGCCTTTTCTAGAAATTTTCATGTGAATGGTATCTTGCAGTTTTTAGTCTTGTTTGGCTTCTTTCACTTAGCTGTTTCTGAGATTCACCAGTGTTGTAGCATGTTTCAGTAGTTTTTTTTTTTAAGTTTATTTATTTATTTTGAGAGAGATCAGCACGTGCACAAATTGGGAGGGGCAGAGAGAGAGGAAGAGAGAAACCACCCAGATACCCCTCAGTAGTTCTTTTGAATGTTGAGTAGTACTCCATTGTTTGGATATGTATATTTTGTTTATCCATTTACCAGTTGACTTAAGATAAATGGGTTTTATACCCTTTCTGCAAATAAAATCTTCCACAGATTCCTAAAAGCTCTCACTTGCTCTTTTCAAGACCAACAATGATAGATCTGATTTGATGCTTATGGGAGAGAGGAGCTCAGAGCTCTACCTTTTTTCCCTTGAAGTACCTCTTTAGAAACCTGGGAATGTAGTTGGAAAACTACCAAACTGTAGAAATTTCCCATCCTTTGTTAAGAAAATATGTATAAGTGCTATATCCAGATGAAATAAACTGAAGAAAAACTTGAAGTGTTAGGGAACATTTTTTTTTTTTAAACCAATGTGTGTGATAGATGAGTATATTTCCCAAGGGAATAATGATGTTCCCTTCATGTACATTTTGGCTTTTCTGCAAATACTTTGGGGGAATGAGTTATAGTTTCATGCCTGCTCTGTGGAATGCTATTTTAGGGAACTTTTATTTTTATCTCTCTAGTTACTTACATGTCTTTTGTTTTTCAATCAGGCAATTACTATAGTTTGCGTTCTCAGCATGAGAAGGCAGCCTTATATTTCCAGAGAGCACTGAAATTGAATCCTCGGTATCTTGGGGCATGGACACTGATGGGACATGAGTACATGGAAATGAAGAACACATCTGCTGCTATTCAGGCATACAGGTGAGTTTCTGGTTGAGTGGTGAGGTGGAGGAGATTGATGTTAGGAGCCTCTCTTGAGCCTGCAAGTCTCTAACCTTGATTCTCCCCTCTTACCAATCTCTCTTTTGTTTCGTAGACATGCCATTGAGGTCAATAAACGGGACTACAGAGCCTGGTATGGGCTTGGACAGACCTATGAAATCCTCAAGATGCCATTTTACTGCCTTTATTATTACAGACGGGCCCATCAGCTTCGGTAAATCTGACCAGTTGATGATGTGTTTGTTATGAGACGGGCTAGTACTTTATCTTTTGATAGCTACTGAAGAATCACAGTGAATGAATGGTTTTCACTCTTAGAGACCTGGGTGTAAACTTGCCCTATGCTCCTTGGTCATTTTTATGCAGTATATTCTGATGGGTTAGTTGGTAGTATAATTGTGAACACAAAATACTGTAATTATATGAAGTATTGGATTAAAGGCTAATCCCTGCATGGATTTGAATTAGTGGTTGTTGGTGGTGTGTCCTCAAGGTTGGACTTTAGTAACTTTTTAAAGTCTTTGCTCAGACTGCCTATTCCTCCTCTTTCTTAGGCCGAATGATTCTCGTATGCTGGTTGCTTTAGGAGAATGTTATGAGAAACTCAATCAACTAGTAGAAGCCAAAAAGGTATCTGAATTTGGGTCCTGGAGAATTTGAATGGAGATGTGCTGTTTGGATGAAGGGTTGGTCTCTCTGTGCTCTAATTTTCCTTCATGTTGATCTATCTACCTAGGAAAGTTTTAAGTATTTATAGGTGCATAGGCTAAAAAGCAAAGCACGGCTGACATTGTCAGTGGGATTATCAGTCTAGTACAAATGCTTTGTATTCTGCAAATCTGAACTTCTGGGAGGCTTGTAGGACTTGAGCCTTTATGTGGTAGGTCATGGCACATGGGACAATGGTCAAAAGTGATCAGTTTATTGTTTTGACAGTGTTATTGGAGAGCTTACGCCGTGGGAGATGTGGAGAAAATGGCTCTGGTGAAACTGGCCAAGTGAGTGAAAGGAATGAAATGCTGTTGTTATTTCTGCTGGCTTCTCTGGTACGGCTCATCCTGCACTCTCTAGAGCCCCCATCGTCCTCCTACATGAGTGTGCAGATGAATCAGGGTGTGTGAATACTGGTCTGGAAGTTAAGCCATCTTGACTCAGGAGACTCCTCTCTAAAGGGGGAACTGCTTTCCTGTTAGGCAAGGGATCAAGAATGAATTGAAAGGAATGAAATTTTCATGTCAAAGCAGTCTAGGAAAACTACTTTAAGTACTGATCCTCCTCCAGATAAAGCCCAAGGAAATAAGGAATGACTCAGAAATAGCAGGCAAACAAGTCTTAAATGCAATCTTATTCCTGCCAGTTCTTTTCTGAATTCTTAGAAAAAAGTCTGAATTGCTTGGTGTCTTTTTAAAATTTTGCTCAGAGTATTATCAGAGAATTTTGCAAAGGTGTGTTGTCCACTATAAGTATTTACCTACTCTCCCTCCATCACCAGTAGGAGAGGAACGAGGCTGAGTTTTGATGAGGTATCCATCACATTGGGACACTAATATTATTCTGGGTCCCAGTGTGCCATTTATGTCAAACCTTGTAGTTTTCTCTGTATTGCCATTTTTTGGGTCTTAATCATGTGCTTTGCGTTTTACCATTAGCTTGCTCTGAGATCTGATTTGTACTTACAGACCTATTTATTTTGTAGGCTTCATGAACAGTTGACTGAGTCAGAACAAGCTGCCCAGTGTTACATCAAATATATCCAAGACATCTACTCCTGTGGGGTATGTTTCACAACCATGCGAACTGGGTTGCTGATCGTATTCTCATCGCCTTAGTCACTCTTGCTTTCCTTATCCAGGAAATAGTGGAGCACTTGGAGGAGAGCACTGCTTTCCGTTATTTGGCACAGTACTATTTTAAGTGCAAGCTGTGGGATGAAGCTTCAACTTGTGCCCAAAAGTGTTGTGCATTCAATGATGTGAGTAGCAGTTCTTTGCTCAAGGGTTTGGATTTTAGGTTCAAACATATGATGTTTAAGAGGCACCTGGGTGATACCTGAGTGTGGTTTTGATTTGTATTTCCCTGATAAGGAGCGACGCTGAACATCTTTTCATGTGCCTGTTGGCCATCCGGATGTCTTCTTTAGAGAAGTGTCTATTCATGTTTTCTGCCCATTTCTTCACTGGGTTATTTGCTTTTCGGGTGTGGAGTTTGGTGAGCTCTTTATAGATTTTGGATACTAGCCCTTTGTCCGATATGTCATTTGCAAATATCTTTTCCCATTCT